GTTGATCTGATTGCACAGAACTTTGTCAACGCTGCCTAACTGTGATACAATTCTGTTTTTACTTCTGATCTTTTGATGACGATGTACTTTTAAAAACTGTACTGGGGCTCATCATTTGCTTCTTCTGGCACGATTTCTTTCCTTCATGTTTGTACATCACTTTCTACTTGCGCAATAATAAAATATTCACGATTGGGAACTTCCTTTAAAAGCCAAGGTGACTTAGCAATGTCCCTCACCCCAGCTGCGTAAGCCAGTAGATGTAACTTACTTATTTTGCAGCTGGAGAATTTTAATTTGTAGTATATTGTAATACCCCCCAGATGTATTGCTTAGGTATAACTTTGTTTTCCTCTCCGTGTTACCATGTGCCATAAATGGCATTCCCAACTCTATGAAAGAGGAGAAAGGTGGCGGCTGCATGGTTGTGTTGAAGGTCTTTTTGGTCTTCGAGCCATCCTTGAATTCCTTTTTTGCTGCTTTCTCATCACGTTGATTACCATTTTTCCACCCAGGGAGCCCCAGTTCGTTGGCCGTTTTCCACACCTCCTTCCCCTGGGAGAGCCCTTCCCCTGCGTTATTTCTTCGATAAACAGGGGCGGAAAGGACAGCCGTCGTGGATAAGCTTCCAGAGGGTCACACACACAGATGTCATTTTTTCTGCCCCCAACTTTACTATTTCTCTGGCCGTAGATAAAATGCCTTCGGAACTTTGATCTCAGAGGTGCCTTAAGTGATTGCCGGCCTGGGGGAGGGGTGGCGGCTGGACCCCACCCCACAGTGAGGCTCAGAGGATGGAAAAGAGCCGGCGGGAGGCCGAAGGCGGGGAGACGTTGGGTTCACAGTGTCGCAACATGGTACACAAGAGGGTTTGGTCTCCTTTGACATTTATCCTGTTGATTTCCTTTCACGTTTGCAGTGGCTGCACTTCTAAAACTTTTCTCTCTGTTAGTATCTGCATCACTGGATTCTCACCCTTGGCAAGTGTTAACAGAAACACTGAGTGCGCTTAGCTGGCGTTCGTGGCTTAAAGGAAGCAGCTTGTGAGGAGGGGTGTGTTACCCTTAGCCTTTTTCGTTTTGTTTTGTTTTGTTTTAACAGGACGGTGGCAATCACCAACACGTGTACTACACGTTTTGAGTTTATTAGCCTCTCGTACAGTGCGTCGTGGGATAAATAGGAACCTGGCAGGGATACTCACAAGTTTTTCAGGGCAAGACTTATCTTCTGATTTTTTATTTTTTAATCCAAGTTTTTAACTTGCAGTATAGTTAGTTCACAATGTTGTGTTAGGTTCAGGTGCACAGCAAGGTGATGCGGTTATACCATACGCATATCTATTCTTTTCCAGGTTCTTTCCTATTATGGGTTATTATAAGATGTTGAGTCGAGTTCCCCGCGCTATACAGTAGGTCCTTGTTGTTCACCTGTTTTATATACAGTAGTGTGTATCTGCTAATCCCAAACTCCTAATTTCTCTCTCCCCACCCCCTGCTATCCCCTCTGGTAACCGTAATTTTATTTTCTGTGTCTTGTCTTGATTTAGAAAACGTAAAGAAAAAGACACATCGAAGGAATGTATTTAGCATCCTTTTCCATTCTGCCTTGCCCTGCGTGTGTGTTTGTGTGCGTGTTTCCTCTGGGATGACTCATTTGCAGAAAGGATGGCCAGTCGCCCCTATTAAAGAACAGTTCGGGGGCAAGTGCTCCTGTGTGCGTGTCAGTTCGCTTGACCGTTCCAGACAGGTGCCTGTCACGCAGCCCTCGCACCAGGTGTATCGCCCATTACTGAGTTGCCCGAGCCTCCAGGTTGTCTTGAGGTCGGGGTGCTGGTCTCCCGTCCTGGGGGCCGTGGCTGCTCACACCGCCTCTCCCCACTGCAGGTACGGGGACGTTCGGTCGCGTGCAGCTGGTCCGCGAGAAGCAGAGCACACGTTTCTTCGCCCTGAAGGTGATGAGTATCCCGGACGTCATCCGCCTGAAGCAGGAACAGCACGTGCACAACGAGAAATCGGTGCTGAAGGAAGTCAGCCACCCGTTCCTGGTCAAGCTGTGAGTCCCCTTCGCCAGGTCCCCCCCTCCCGGACCCCAGGTGGATTTTCCTGCGGCAGGTGGGATGATGGAGTGCGGTCACAGCGGGTCACCCTCTGCTGAGACATCTCAGCTCCCGGTCTCGCGGAGAAAGGCGCCGTTCCCACAAGTGCCTGCCCAGGGTGGCACGCCTGGCGCCACCCCCCCGCACCTGCACCAGCCGCGTGTCCGCAGGGCCACCTGGGGCCCCGCCAGAGGCTCTGTCCCCTCCTCCCACCCCCAGCTCCCTGGACAGCCCGTCCAGTCGGTCTTCCTGGGACCTCAGTCACCTGCTCACCTCTGCTCACTCACATCCTTTCTTGGGTTCTAGCTGACCGTTCAGTGGCCCCATGTCGATGCCTCATAGAACCTTCCAGGTGAAGGTGCCCAGTGTGGGCCGAATGGATCCCTCTTTCTGCCACGCTCTTTGCTGGCGGAGGGTAAGGCCATTTTCCACTCAGGGGCCTCAGGTGTGGGCGTCCACAGAGGGCTCTCCGTCCCCATCCCCGGGGGCCTTGCCCCGCTTCCCACCCCTTCCGCCGCCTTCCTCACGCCCCTTCGCAGCCCCCGACCCCTCCCAGCCCAGCCTGGTGTGGGCCCCCCTCTCTGGCCTGAGTGCCCAGCTGTTCTTGGCCTCCCAGACTTGCCTCTTTCGAGGCGTTCTTTGCTTTAACTACAGCCGTAGTGATCCCTTCACCCGCACGGCCCTCCGATGACCTGCGTCTGTGCTGACACATCCGCAGGGAATGACCCCAGGGGCTCAGTGGCCTAGAAACGGCTCCTCCCAGGCTCTGCCTCTGCCTCTGGCTCTTTTCAGAAGCTCTTCCCTCCATCATCCCAGGAAAGTGACCTGCAGTAGAAGGTGGGAGGTGCCATCCATGTTGTCACCGCAGGGCCACCCGCCCGCCTGTGGTGCCTCCTTCATCTGCCTCTCCCCACCCCCTGCCTCTCCCACCTCACCCTCACCTGCCTTTCTTCTGTGATACACCTGCCTGTACACAGAGACAGGCGCCTCCACCCTGCTCTTGGAGCATCTTGCATGTGCCCCAGTGCAGGGAGATAACACCTGTCAGCTCACAGCCACCGGAGCAATGTCCCCAGGGCCCGAAACAGCATGTCATTTGGAGCAGGGACGGGTGGCACGTTTGACGGGTGACGGAAGGGAAGCAGCTGACTTCTTGTCTTACTTTCCTTTTATGAAGCCCAGTGGCCGTGTTGGGCCAGTGTGGACGGGTCAAAAGAGTCTCATGCCGTTGAGTCATTAAAATCGAAAGAAACAAAAAAAAACTAGCCGGTGCAGCAGAGCCACCACCCCTCCCTGTTCAGGTCTGAGTCTCCTCTTTGCTGGGAGGTGGTGGGAAGGTGGGTAGAAAATCTCATGCGTGTAGATCTTCTGGAAAGACTTGTGGTGTCTCTTCTAGAAACTGAAATAGTGATTCTGGGTAAACACTTCAGTTGGCTAGGGTTTTCAGTACACATCTTGTAAAGGAGACGTGGACTCCTTTATCTGTTGCCAAGTCATTCTCACGGGATTTAGGAGAACGGTCTTGGGCTTTTACCAAATACAGGAAGTCTCAAGCCTGGACCCCAGGGTGTGTCCCCGAGGGTGCTTTGTGGCTGAGTTTTCTCAGGAAGACGGGGCACCTGGCCGCTGGGTTCCGGTTTGCTCTGGAAACCAAGTGGCGTGATCTGTTATGTGTCTGCAGTGAAATTAGGAGAACACGGAAGAGAAGCAGGTGGAATTGATGGTGAAAACGAAAAGTCCGAGACATGGGTGTCGAGAAGACACAAGTTTGGCAAAGAGGGAAGGAGCCAGTGGGAGGAGTGCTTTCCAGGGCTGTGCGTGGGTGCTGGGCATGCCGCCCAGCGGCTGGCGGGGTTGCCGAGGTCACCTCAACGCATATTTTCTGGGATCAGGCACGTCCCCCTGGAAACATTAGGGTGATGCTCTAGGGAAGCTTGGGGGATGGCTTCCATTCTGGGAACTCCACCTTGTTGTGGGTTGAATTGTGTGTTGTGTCCCCCCGCCCCGCAAAAGATACGTTGATGTCCTGACCCCCAGTGCCCGTGAATGTGACCTTATTTGGAAGTTGGGTCTTTCCTTGTAGGTGTAATCAAGATGTAGGTCGAGGTCCTATAGGAGTAAGGTGGGCTCTCCATCCGATGTGATGAGTGCCCTTGTGACAAGCGGAGAAGATACACAAAGACACACACACAGGAGAGGGCCACGTGAAGACAGAGGTGGAGATGGGGGGTGATGCGGCCACAAGCCGAGGAACCCCAGGGATTGCTGGCAACCACCAGAAGCTATAGGAGAAGCTAGGCTGGATCCTTCCCTGGAGATTCTAGAAGGAACCACGCCCACCAACACCCTGACCTTGCGCTTCTAGCCTCCAGAGCTATGACAGGATGCATTTCTGTTGTTAAAGCCACCCAGTTTGTGGTCTTTTGTTACGCCGGCCCCAGCAAAGTAACACACACCCCGTCGTCTCCTGGAGTGGGGACCAGCCTAGGTGATGGGCTCTGGAGATGCTTTCTAACTACGTCAGAGGAGTCCCCAGCATAGAATCCTTGAGCTTGGGGAGGTTAAAAGGGAATAGGGAAAAGGAGGACCGTGAAAAACAGAGCTTTAGTCAGATAACTCTGCTTCCTTTACTCCTGGACAGCTCATCAGGCGGTTTCCTCATCTGGTAGGGTAGACTGCCGAATCCAGAGGGACGCAGATTCTGTATTCCCATGTTCCTTGCTTTTGGATAAGTACCTAAATTGTTTCCATCACAAAGGCTGTAAGCCCTAGCTTCAGTGGGATGGAACTTGACCCCAGGTTATCTAAATCGGCTTTTCTCTAATTTTAAAGAGTGATCTCTCTGCCCTGTGGTAGCTCTGTAATCTGACGGTCTCTTTGCTACCTTGATATTCCTGTTGCCATACAGCTCACTGGGTGCAGGCACACCTCAGTGTAGTCTTTTTATATGTCAGGTCCAACCGTGCTACGGCCAACAGGCAGGAATTTTTCCTGGTCCTTTAGTCCACAAGGCTGTCCCGCTGCGTGTCTGTGTCCTGGCCTCGTCTTCCTATAAGGACCCCAGCCCTACGGCATCAGGACCCAGCCTAGTGACCTCATTGCACGTTCATCCCCTTTTTAAAGACCCCATCTCCAAATCCAGCCACATGCTGAGGTCCTGGGGGTTAGGGCTTCAGCATATAGATTTTGGGGTGGACACTACTGCTTAGTGACTTGCTAAGTGCAGGTCTTTCGGTGCACAGGGGTCTTATTATAAAAGTATTTGTAGCCTTTGGAAGTTTTCTGTGCATTATCACTTGAGGGACCCGGCGGTGTTTGAAAACTGGGATTAAATTGATCCAGGGTCAGCAGACTCTAGAGGTGCCCCACACGTAACAGGGGGAGAGCGCTGTATCTGACCAGCCCCGCGAACGGGGGGAGTAGGGTGCCCAGGGCCACTGGATGGGGCACCGGATTTAGTGGGAAGAGACCACGAGGGAAGCAGGTATCGAATCCCCCCAGCTGTGCAGTTTCTCTTGGAAATGAGTTGTTTCTCCCAGCATCTGCCTTTCATACTGTCCAGAAGTGTTGAGTGAGCCTCACTTGCATTCACGGGAAGCCACGTGGAATACCGATCGATGATCCCGGGTATCACGCCGAACAAAGACTCAAGTTTCAACTTCCACTCAAACGATTGGGCAAGTTCGCCCACGGTGTTATTAGCGTTCGGTATTCGAAGTGCTGCTGGTTGCGTTGTTGAAAGTCGGCCAGGACGTTCATTACGTACACATCAGAGAATGCATTCCGTTCTGGGATAAAGCCATCCTGAAGACCAGTTCAGCCAGCGTGGAGATAATTTTAGAAGAGCTGACAAACTCGGTGTAGAAGGATTGTGACACAGTCAAGGTGTCCCGGGGAGGAAGGCTTGTGTCCCGCCCCTAGACCATGACCCTGTGTCTGCTCCCTGCCCTTTGTGCGTATAGAAATCGCTGGCATCTTAGAGTTGGTGGGATCCAGGACAGGCGTTCTCACCTGGGCACCACTGACAATGGGGATGGGAAATTCTTTGTGGTGGCGGCTCTTCTGTGTAGTAGAGGGGGTTTAGCAGCATCCCTGGTGTCTCCCCGCTCAGTGCCAGGAGCACACTCCCTCCGTGGTGTGATGGCCAAAAATGTCTTTAGACGTTGACAGGAAATGTCCCAGGGAGTGAAATAGTCCTGATTACAGACCACTGCCTAGATAGATAGATAGATAGATAGATGGATGGATGGATGGATGGATGGATGGATGGATGGATGGATGGATAGATAGATGGATGGATAGATAGAAAGAATGTTAGATGGATGATGGATGGATGGATGGATGGATGGATGGATGGATAGATAGATGGATGGATAGATAGAAAGAATGTGTGGATGGATGGATGGAAGGAAGAAAGGAAGACAGGATGAATAGGCAGGTGGTATAGAAATAGATAGTGAGATAAACAGATTGATAGGAAGATATTTGGATAGATGGATGGGTGGGTGGATGGATGGATGGATGGATACACAGATGGTAGACAAACAGACTAGATAGGCTGATGGATGGATGGATGGGTGGAATGATGGATGGATGGTTGGTTGATAACGCCTGTGATAGGGGCACGCACAGAGATTAGGTGGGTGTGGGTGCATCCTCACTTTCCTGTCCCAGGCCCTGCACGTGGAGTTCCATCGTTTAGTCTTGGTGATGAGCCTGTGGACCCAATGACAGTCCCAGTGCCGTGTCACTCATTGCACAGCAGAAGACCCAGCTAGCCAGCCATGTTTCATTGGCTTTTCCCCTACAGATCTGGGTATGAAAGAACTCAGAGGTCCATCACCCATGGGGCACATCCTTCTCGTTATGGGCGAAATGACAGCTTGGATCTCCACGTAGAGGAAATTGGGTCTTAGTCTGGAGAGGACGAGCCCATAGCCTAAAGGAAAGGTCTTTC